TTAAGCACCTGGAAACTGCCAGATAGGAAAGACTGAATAATTGGATAGTTTCCTCCTACCCCTACTCCTACTCCTACTCCTCGACTGTAATCCATGCCAAAGGAATTTATTTTGAAAATGACTTTGATAGAGGTAGAAGGGAAAGTGGCAGCTTCTTGGGTCAAATGATTCTTCTCAATTCAATGATTTTATACTATTTAGCACCAAAAAGTGAAACCCTTCAGAAGTTGCCATCTATGTTTCCCATTCTTCCTTTGTACCACTTAGATTTCAATCTTCTTTTTTAAAAAATTAAAAAGTGATTACTTTCTATTTCCATATTGTATTCTTGTATAATGTTTTCTCTAGGGCTGGGTTGTCATATCAAAAAGCAGGAAAGAGGCAGAAGGATACTGCTGTCATATAAATGGAAAGCATGAACTGTTTACTTCAGCACATAAGCTTTCATCTTCCTAATGTGCTATTTTTCATTCTCTCATAGTAGATATGAGAAAGTAGATATATGAAAAGAATGGCAATGAGACTCTACAAAGACACATTAGCCTCAAAGTTACATGAACTATTAAATGTATCCCCACATGATCTTACAAGACTTTCCCCCTCTTCATTGTAAGAACTCAAAGCTTTGTGGTTATTTATTTTATTTATTTTATTACATTTTTATACCGCCCTTCTCCTGAAGGACTCAGGGCGGTGTACAGCCAAAAATAAAACCCACAACTATATGAAAGTTAAAAGACAATTTAAAAATATTAAATAATTTGGCCGAAAGAGCTAAAATAGAAACCACCCATTAAAATAGCATTTAGGCCAGCCCTGCTTGGTGAAACAATAGCGTTTTGAGGGCGTGGCGAAAGGTGCGAAGGTTGGGGATCCTACAAATCTCCGGGAGCAGATCATTCCAGAGGGCAGGTGCCCTCACATAGAAGGCTCTCCCCCTGGGGGTCGCCAGTTGACATTGTTTGACCGACGGCACCCTGAGGAATCCCTCTCTGTGGGACTGGTTGATGGGAGGCTATCAGTGGCAGAAGGCAGTCTCGTAAATACCCAGGTCCTAAGCCATGGACCGCTTTAAAGATGGCAACCAACACCTTGAATCACACCTGGAAGACCACCGGGAGCCAGTGTAGCTCACGCAGGAGCGGTGTTACATGGGAGCATCGAGTCGCTCCCATAATCACCCACACAGCTGCATTCTGGACCAGCTGGAACCTCCAGGTGCTCTTCAAGGGGAGCCCCATGTAGAGAGTGTTACAGTAGTCCAGACGAGAGGTGACGAGGGCATGAGTGACTGTGTGCAAGGAGTCCCGGTCCAGAAAGGGATGCAACTGGTAGATCAGGCGAACCTAGCCCTAGGCTAACCTAGGTTAGCCTAGGGCTAATTTAAAACCTGGAGTCCCAAAGAACCACACAAGCCTACTTAAGCCAATCAGAAAGCAAATGGTTATGCTGTTCAGATCCAATTGAAATCAGTGAGGCAAAAACTAAATACACATAGGATTCCAGCTCATAATTGTTCCTACAGAAAGTAAGCCATGCCCAGGCCCATTCTGGAGCCTAAAGTTCCTCCAGAATCAAACTGAATAACAATATTCAGTCTCTTTCTTGCATGTGAAAATAAATTTGAAAATACCTATATGAAGTCTTTACTCAGGTTAAGACTAAATTCCCCAAGTAGGCTGAAAATGCCAGCCCCACCCCTACTAAGATGATATCATCAGATGGCTTTTTAAGACCATAGTCCTTGACTGGAAAATATTTGCCTGTCCCTGATATAGACATGGTTCAAAAAGGGCATTGCAAATGAGAATGTGTGATATGGGGTTAGAATGGCCCATATGGAGTTAGCATGGCCCATAAAATAATAAATCATAACTGTGAATTATGGGCTAAGAAAGACTGTGGAATTGATTATTTGTTGTTGTTAGTTGTGAAGTCATGTCTGACCCATTGGGACCCCATGGACAGCGTTTCTCCAGGCCTTCCTGTCCTCTACCATCCTTTGGAGTCCATATAAGCTCACGCCTTCTGCTTCAGTGACTCCATCTAGCCACCTCATTCTCTGTCGCCCCATTTTTCTTTTGCCCTCAATCTTTCCCAACATTAGGCTCTTCTCAGTGAGTCCTTCCTTCTCATTAGGTGGCCAAAGTATTTGAGTTTCATCTTCAGGATCTGGCCTTTTAAAGAGCAGTCTGAACTGATTATAGGTGATTGTTATAGGTGATTATGATTATAGGTGAACTGATTATAGGTGATGCTTATAAAACTGCTATTTATATCAGCTGCCACTTGCTATGTTAACTTGAAAAGAAAATAAATTGAATGATTTTCTTAGATTGTATAAGAATGTAATAGTTGATAAGATTATATTTTCTGTTTAATCTGTCCAGGGATGGAGTTAATTTAAAATAGGATTTCTGGATTATTTGTCTCTAAAGACAAAAAGTTCCTAGGTTGGGATCTTGCAGAACCAGAATGAAAGAAGCAAGCTTGTCCAATTGCTTCCCATTGCATGATATTCATCTTCTTAACTTCCCAGGCAGAGCAGCAGTGCAAGAGGAGAAGGCTATATAGGGACTAATGGCATTCTTCTTCTCACTTTTGTTCACATTGTGGATACATTTTATCCAATAATAAATCCCTCAAAGCTTCAATAAAACGAAGAAATCGTTTTGCATTGAGCAAATAGTTTTGCAGGTGCTTTGACATATCCATGAATCTTAACAGAAAAGGACGTTTGCTGACATTATTGACATAAAAGGAACCCAATGAATTGTAGGAAATGTAGGAAAGGCTATACTAAAAATATAGCAGCCATCCAGATTTTAGCCATCTGATGCCTTCCATATGTGTAGACTTCACATAGACTTCAATCCTTGAATTCGTAACCAGAACACATCTGTTAAATCTTAAGCTATGGAAAGCTACATTAACCTCCGATCACCATGAAATGAGATGTCATATAATAGGCATCTCATATAATAGACATACAGTAAAACGTAGATGATTCATTTGTTCAAAAACGTGGATGTGCAGGCATTTTATCATCATAAAAGAACCATATCCTTACTCCATATGTGCAGTGACGCTACCATGTTCCCTCTGATCTCATCCTCAATAGGAGAATGTTCAGTACCACATACAAAAAGAAGATAGGCAGAAATACAGCAGTGTGCACATGGGTTCATTCATTTTCCCAACCATTACGGTAACTTGTTTGGCTCTGACTTTGTGTGATACATGAACCCAGGAGTAGTGATGTAAAAAGCATGACTGATAGTTTAATACTGTGATGGCAAACCTATGGCATGCGTGCCAGAAGTGACATGCAGAGCCATCTCTCCAGGCATGCCAGCCATCGCCTGTTGCTCTTCTGGGTTCTGGCACACACATGTGCACTGGCCAGCTGATCTTCACATGTGCAAGAGCACCGGAAACCGGAAGAGCGGGTGACCAATGAGCATGTGCACGCTGGAAACCAGAAGCTCTTCCAGTTTCCCATGCTCCCCCATGCATGCGTGCATGCTCCTGTTTCGGTACTCTGTGCCGAAAAGGTTCACCAACACTGGTTTAGTATCTGAGAGTCTTATAAAGGGGTTTAGTTAATAACGAGTGTAACCTAAACTCAATCACAATCTCTTTACATAGTCTGAAACTCTGCTCAATATATTTCCTGATTATAGGAAAAAAACAACAACAATGTCTGTCTGCAAAGTACATATTGAGGTTCGAGGTAATGGGAGATAAGGCAAATAGGGTGCTGCTATTTCAAAGAGGTCAAGAAATGCAGTCATGCCTTGAGTTCTACATGCTGAATGTTCATCAGAAGAGGGTTTCAATGGACAGCCAAAATTATATTTGAGTAAGAAATCTTCTTTTCCCTTCAGAAGGCCTGGAACTGTGATATAAAATTAACTCTGCTGTTGACTTTCTAGTGCCTTCCAGCTAATTTAAGTATGGAAATTAAATAGGAAAGGAACATATTTATTTTAAGCTGCTAAGTTTAACTTGGTTTGTGAACAGTTGTAGGAAAAAAAAAACAAGCCTTCTGTTATTTAAAAATTATCAGCAGAATATTATAGCAATTAAGAATGACTTCAAGATCATTTTCAGTGCACTGCTAGTGACATTTAGTAGCCTTGACAAGAAAGTCACATATTACTAGAATATGTAGAAAAGGTGACAATATGGAGAATAGATATTGTATTCAGATGAGTGGAAGCATGTAACTGCTTACATGAATGATTTACAACACTCAAACTGAGTGGAACTCTTCATAAAGTTGCCTCTTTATTCCTTGCCATGTCACTTGCATGATGCAAGAAACTCATATTTCTGTTTTACTAAGGAGAATGTAAATATGGATGAAAAATTGTGACCAAGATGTATAGTAGTGAAGAATCAAGAAATCAAATTTTAAAAGGCAATGTTGAAACTTGCAGGTGCATAGTATCAAGTAGCTGCTTCATTTTGGGATGTGTATGTGAATAGTAAACATTACACATGTCTCGTTTGTGTTCTATCTCTTGATGGTGTCAAAATACTGTACTAATCTCTTTTCAGATGAAACTCAGGGGGAAAAAACAGGGGGAAACTCAGGGGGAAAAAAACCCTTTCTATTCCAACACTGTGCATAGTGGCAGTCTTCTCTTTACTGACTATCTCTGGTCTGTCAATAAAATTATTGCAAATACTTTTTCGTTTTTGTTTTTAAAAGCAAGCTTTTCTCAGATTAAAGTGACAATTTGCAAGGATGACAAACCTGCTTCCTTGCTCAGGGGTTGACTGGATTTCATTCTAGACCAGGGGTCTCTGAGCTTGGTAATTTTAAGACTTGTACACTTCAACTCCCAGAATTCCCTAGCAAGCCACTCCCATGAATTCTAGGAGTTGACATCCACATGTCTTAAAGTTGCCAAGGTTGGACACCCTTGGTTTAGACCTTTTTCTGAATGAAATAAATGGGTGGTGGGTGTACAGCAATAGTGGGTTCCACTTACCTTTGTTACCGGTTCAAAATTGGGAGCACACTTGCACACGACCCTTCTGTGCATGCACAGAGCATCCATGATGACATCCAGGCAGGTGGGAAGAGCCTCCTGCTGCCGCCACTATTGGTTCGCCCAAGCCAGGGCAAACTGGTAGAAACCCACCAGTGGTGTACAGTGTGTGTGTGTGTGTGAGAGAGAGAGAGACAGAGAGAGACAAAGAGAGACAGAGAGCGCGAGACAGAGACAGAGACAGACAGACAGAGACACACAGAGAGAGACAGGCAGACAGATAGATGGGGCAGGTGGGAGGGAGGGTAAAGAAAAGAAAATTATCCATGTTACTACAATAAATATATATAGCCATGACTTACAGAAAGTCTTCTCTTTTCTAGCAAATGGGATACACATTACAAATAATACAATCTCATATTATGTGTTTAGAGTCTCCAATACAGGGAGGAGATCCTGACCTTTTCAGATGAATTTCATACCCAGCTAAGATTTTCTATTTATATTATCCATATACGGAGAATGAAAACGAAACTGCTCTCTCTTTAAAATTCATTTCACTTGTTTATTTAGTCATTTTATTCACTTAATCCCTACAAGCTCGAGGCAGTGAGTAACATGACATGAAAACTCTGTATGATAAAAATTATCGCAAAAGAACCAAAGCAGCATGTTGTAGCCAATTACATTAGAAAAATACTAAGGATGTGCAAAATTTACCAACCTTGAAATGATTTTTTCTAGAGAATTCCAGAATGTTCCAGAAGCCCTGGGGCACCCCTTCCTTCCTGCATACTGTGCATCCTTCATTTTCTTGTTTTAGCAAGGGAAATGTTTTGTTTTGTTTTGTTTTGTTTTGTGCTTAGGATATAATATATGGAACAGTTAATGCTCAAAAGCTTTATAGTTCATTGTTTCTTGTTAAATCTTCATGTGGGACTCAAGTCCTATTACGTTTTGGCCTGCTTCATACAAAAACATGCAACTGTTGCGGAAATGGAAATATTGTCTGTATCAGAATTATCTATGGCTGAAGAGGAATACTTTCGCACTCTGTAATTTGGGGTTCTTTTACATAGACAAGATTTGTTCCAAGGATATTTTGTATTAAATAGTTCAATCAGTTCCAAAAACTAAGAGTCTGAAAAAAATATATAAATATTTCTCTTTAAAGGGATATAGATTACTAGTAATGAATATTTCAATTTGTTTAACAAACACAATGATTGCTATTTATTTTCATTTCAGATAACAGTTCTCTGGGTACTCTTTTCCCCCCTTGAATTAATAAATTCTGTTGTCAGTTGAAAAGGACATCAATAGTCTTTGTTTTCTAAAGCAAATTGGATTATGGGGTAGCAAAAGATAGCAGGGTTTTTTTTAAAGAAAAAAACAAGCACCTGTATCTTTTAAATAGATGGTTGAATGTACCTTGCTTAGATATTTTTAAATTACTTTCCCAAGTGAGTCACTTTCATATGTATTGGAAATGCTGAGAACTATGGGAATTGTAGACTGAAGTCCAACAAGGCAGTTTGCCTATATCCAGGGACTCTGTTTACTGTAAGAGTGGAATGCCTAGACCTTAAATTGTGTTATAGGAATAAAATACTAGTATACATCCTATTGCTGATTTGGCTAGCTGCTCCTGCATGACCCTTACTCAAGTTGATCTGATCTGGAGCAGGGGTGGGTTCTACTTACCTTTACTACCAGTTTGCATTGTGCCCACGCGCACGCTCTTCTGCGCATGCACAGAAGCTTCTGCGCATGTGCAGATCTACTTTGATGACGTCCGGGTCAGGTAGTCAGTTTTACTACCGGTTCTTGTGAACTGGTCTGAACCGGGAGCAACCCACCACTGATCTGGGGGCTGGTGTTTGAGCTCCTATGCCTGCTGTTATTGGGTGACTTCATCTCCATGGATTCAGAGCTGGTTGGATAGAGTTCAGGAGGCATTTATGGGCTCCAAGGTGTATATGGGCTTGTGCCAAGCAATCCCAAACTTGATTCATAAGGATCCCAGAATACAGACTAATAGAGTTGGAAGGGACCTTGAAGGTCTTCTAGTCCAACCTCCTGCTCAATCAGGAGAACTTATACCATTCTGGATAAATGGCTCCTCTTCTTAAACCTCTTCTTAAAAACTGCAGTGCTGAAGCAACCACAATTTCTGGAAGCAAGCTATTCCACTGATTAATTATTCTCAATCAGTAAATTTCTCTTTATTTGTTGGGTGTCTCCTTGATAAGAGTCCATCTGTTAATTCTTCAGGTGTTTGGAGAATAGGTTGACCCCCCTCTTCTCTGTGATAGCCTCTCAGATTTTTGGAGACTGTTATCATGTCATTCCTGACAAAGGCTGAGTTGTTTGCTCAAACAATGCTAAAGCAGCCAAGGTGCCATTAAAATTCCCCTCCCCATCAGCCATTCCTCACTCACAGGGACATTTACCTTCTTTTTCTTTTTTTCTTTTCTTATAGACAATCATTAGGAATTCCAATAGCAGTTATTGGAAGCAGAAGAGCATTTTTTAACACTTTGCTAAAATAATCACTTTCTAGTGCAGGGCTGTCAAACTTGCAGCCCCCGGAATGGATGTGTCATGCGCTGGCCCACCCCCCATGCCTGGTTTAGCAAAGAAGAAAAAAAGATGTGATATGTCACGTGATGCCTCAATGACGACGCAAGTTTGACACCCCTGTTCTAGTGCATATGAGTTTAACTGACGCCTATGATCTCTGTAGAATAAACAGATCAATAAAGGAGGTCTGCCTCAGATGCCTTATGGATCTGAATCGTTCTGGCAGGCTGCTGGTTTTTACCTGCAGAAAAGCTTTCCATTGAGTACTTGGTTAGCCATTGGCAATAAGAACTGGGTATTTGATCTGGTTGCTTCTAAGAGGTTTTTCTCTGCTGGCTAATTTTGGATGGTTCCTTAATTTACCAAGTAGATTTATGCAGAAGAAATGCCTATAGCACTGAAGAATAAAAATATATTTTTTTGCTGACAAAGCAAGTGTACAGACTCAAATTTAAACCCGCATCATAGTAATAATGGAAGTGAAACATCATTCCTTCCTGACTGCACTGGTGGGTTCTTAAGCAGTAACTTCATTTAGGATAAACAGCTCTCACTTAGGGAGGGTGAAGCAATTAGATCTGTTACCTTGCTCCTATTACTGTTTTGTAGAGCATTTTGCCAATACAATCACTCATGTTCACCTATCACTCATTTCAGTTCCTCGTGAATGAGTCCGATAGTTGCAGGGCAGACTCTTGCCGGTTTATCTGGGAATACTTATGGTGTCTTCTCTCTGATGAGTGGGGGTTTACCCAGCAATTTGTAGGCTAGGTCTTGTTCTCTTCTGAAGCCATCATCTATGTGGACATGGATGACAATGCCTTCGTGTTCATGGAATAATGCCAACCACTTGAAAGGGATTTTGAGGCACCCCTATCTTTCAGAGCACCATCCTGGATCTATCTATAGTTGACAACCATTGCCCTTTCTCTAAGCTACCCTTTTAGGAGAATATTATTGAGATGGTTGTTAGTGTAGAGGTCAAGGCAACATAGAGGAAGCAGAGCATTTTGTTCCTTTTTAATCAGGATTTAATTAGTATCTGCCCACAGAACAGGAATAGCATGAGCCTTTCTTAGGAACTTTTGTGGGCCTTGTTAGGAACTGAATGTGCCCCTTCTAATTCCCTTAGACTTCTGGGCAGCCTTCAGTGCTATTGACTGGGGCATTTGTAGCTCAGTTATCATTTCTTTGCACATTTCGTAGACTGGGGGACATTGTTAAGAATTTAGGAATATGGATTACTGATGCATTTTTTGAAATAGTGACTAGTCATTCACATTAACTATATGACTGAGAGACTGATCCTTAGGTCCAGAGCAGAGCTGTCAAACTCACAGCTTGCGGGCCAAATGCGTCATGCGCTGGCTACGCCCATGTCCAGTTTAGCAAAGGGGGAAAAAGTCATAATACGTCATGTGATGCCGCTGTAATGATGCGGGTTTGATACCCCTGCTCTAGAGCAATTTGGTGACTGATTTATTAGCCTAACATAGAACCAATAACTCTATTTGTCTGAATGCTGGAAGATGTTCCATGTTATATCTTATATTTTGGGCTATTGTAGCATACAATATACTATGCTATCTGTTTTTCAAATGTATCAGATTTTCTCTCCAAACTGTCATCTTTTCTAAGCATTGCTAAGGCTTGTTCTTCAACGCTTCTGTCTTAATGCCTTGTCTCACTATCCTATTACCAAGAGATTTTGCTTCAAAGTACTGTAAAACTCTGCTCCTTCTGCCCCATAGATACAATTTTGTTTCCTATGGTAATATGAGCTGTGTTGAAATAGATAGTCGAATGTAATCCTTTGCTTTAAAGAATGATTCACAATGTAGCAGCCAGTGGGAAAAAGCAGGATAGGCTTTGATCCCTAGTGCATTAAAAATTTCAATGGAATATAAATTCCTAGAATTGCATTTAGGATGGTGCTCTTAGAGAAACATAAACTAAGCCATGGGTTTTCTCAGACCCCCAAATGGCCCAACATAATTTATAGAAAATACCTGGTTACAAGTTTCATCACCTGGACTATTGAGAAAGCATAGCATTCTAATTTTGTGGCAGAACATGGTGGTAAGAATTTTTAAGCATTAGTTGTAGAATGACAATGAATAATAATTAAAAGAATAAATTGCACTTATCACGTTCTTCCAGGTGGAAAAACAGCTATGAGTTCCACAGCAAGAATTGTCAGGGAATGTTTGATAACATTAAGACATACATATAGTCATTTGTCCTAAGGCTTTTAGCAAACAACTAATTTCATATTTGCTGCAAAAAAAGTAAGAGTCCCACATTCTGTTTGTCCTGTGGCATCAAAGGTATCATTAACAGGACTGAAATTCTGAAGCTTGTTAGTTAATTTCTTGAACAGTATTAAATTTGTTTGCTGCATAATTATTTTTCAATCACTTCCAGTATAATTGCAGTTTCATCTCCAACCTGTACAATCCCTATGTTATAGTTTATTTACTTATTACACATTATTCTCTTTTCCCTGTTTTTGTTTTTTGCTGATTCCTATGGCTCCATGATTAGAGGAATAAACT